CGCCATATTTATTACAGCGTTTCTGCCCTTCAGTATCTGTCTATATTTCTGAGATGAGGTATTATGTACATTATTTGCATTATTCGGACTATTCTCTTTATCTTTCTCGCCATATTTATTACAACGTTGTACGCTCCGGCCTTCTTCCTCAAGGACACATGGCACAGTGGATAAAGGCGTTAGTTAGATCCACTGACAGGACCCAAAGAGTGAGTTCAATACCCGGCTAAGGCAGTGGGGAACTTTTAGAGGGAAATTAAAAGGATAACTGGCATCCATTAGACATGGCACGTGGAACTAGAACAGTCTACCCCAGTGAGCGTAATAAAGGTTTCAGTTCGACATTCCAAACCACCTGAAGAAGACCGGGGCGTACAACGGCCGAAACGTTGTGATAAACATGGCGACAAAGATTGGGGCAATAGTCCGAATAATGTAAATAGTGTAGTTAATTTACACTTTGAAATTTTCCATTAAAAACCAACAGTTCTAATTTCTGAGAAAAGTTCAGGCACAGAAAAAAAAGTGAATTCTGGATTAGAATCGAGGGAAGGATGAGGAAATGTCGGGATAGGTTAAGCTATTTCTGCCCAAATTAGATAAAATGCTATTTTTTTTCTATAATTCTAAGACGTACAATGAATATTTTTATCTAATCTTCTCACATGATACAATTCAATATTTGACAATGCCTTATTAGGCAAACAATGTTCGTTAGCATATGCTGATAAAAATATCTTGTTTAATTATGCATTTCCGAAAATAACTGAAAGGGAAAAATATGATTTAAATATATTTTAATACAAATTCTGTATAAAAAAAAAGTCACACATACAGACACACACACATACATACATATCATTATTATTATTATTATTATTATTATTGAAAACAAAATGATTGACGTAAGTCTTCTAATATTTTTCAACACTTATAGACGAATGCGATTTAAGAAAAGAACACTATTGATCACTGTGTCTATTTTCATTTTCTTAAATTGTATTCTTCTCTTGTTTTTTAATCACTTAACTCCAAGCAAGGCAATAATGCCACTAAGGCGCAAGTTGTTATTGGGTCAGAAAGGTAAAGCAAAGACTTAAGTGTGAACGATTAAGGGAATCACAATAAAGGAACAGGATTCAAGAAGACAGAATATGACGATTGACGTATCATTTAAATTTTTGAAGATTGTAACTGTCAGGGAAGCAAGAAATCGGAAGGGATGTGTCCTATTATTATTATTATTATTCTCAATATGTATTATTATTATTATTATTATTATTATTATTATTATTATTATTAGTTATTGATATGCCATCACTACTATATAGATTAGAAAGATCAAAATGAGAGGTTAAAACTGCTTTAGTAGATTATTAAGAATTACTATATAAAGAGCATTAGATATTCCTTAACTGACATGTTCTCATTCTGCCTTTAAGTGTGCTTTTCCTCATGAAAAAAAAAAGACATAAGGGTTCGATTTCTATCGGGAGTTATCTTTTTCTTTAGTAGGTATCCTTGGTGTAGGATTGCCGACATCAATTTCATTGTTCCATATCTCCTCTGCCCGTTCTAAAGCTGATCTGCTCACGGCCATAACTGAAATTGAGCAAATAGCAGGACAAACCCGGTTCTACAGCCTTGGATGGCGACTGGTCTTCCGTAGATAGAAATGATAACCTACAGGGATCACAATTCTATTTCTATTATTGATTTTGCTACTATTTTGGTATTACTTGTGAATAGTTGTCTAATTTAACTATGATCCTTATTCTGATTATTAATGTGTTGTCTGATGGCACGCTGATCCGATACGTAACAGGTGAGTCTCCATGAGAATATGATTGTAGTATAAACTATGTAAAACGTTTTCTTTTTTGTTTACAGAGAAACATTCTCCAAGTTGACAGGTATATTTATGTTAAACATTGATGTTATGTAAGGAGGTTTGAAGTTTGCAATATATCGGTATTTTTTATATTGATTAAGAAATCTGATATAATTAATTTTCGACCTGTTTCGCACGCACACACACACACATATATATATATATATATATATATATATATATATATATATATATATATATATATATATATATGTTATAAATATTTTTTTATTATATATATATATATATATATATATATATATATATATATATATATCATATTTCTGCTGCTGTTTTTACCTTTTTGGTAATTTTGGGGCATTTGATTTTGGTAATATATTTATTTTCTAAGCGTAGCTTGATGGGCACAAGGCCGAAAGTAGAGGGCACCTACTGAGGATCGAAATCACTTTTCTGTCGTAACTGATCGAGCGAGAAAAGCGTTATTCTCTATCTGTCTAATTGTATGACTGTCTGCCTTATCTCTTTCACCCCTTTTATATATATATATATATATATATATATATATATATATATATATATATATATATATATATATATATATATATATGCTAAACTTTGTGTCTTTTACCATAAGTGCTTTCAGGGTAATTGTTTCCTCTTTTGTACATCAATTTTATGAATTAAGTCGCAGTACTATATTGACAGCAGTGTCTCATCGTAGTAGAGATAAAATGGGTATATGTAGCCGTAAGTCCTATGCTAACAGTTTCTTCTTTTTTTTGTCGCTTGTGGAACACTCTTTCTTGTTTGATCTTCAAAAATTTAAATGCCAAATGTTACCTTGCATCTTTTTAATTCTTGTTCTTTTAATGTTGTCTTTCCTTAAATATGTTCCTCTTTTCTTTCACACTCACTAAACCAATTTGCATCTTATTGGCTTTGTCACCTTGGTTGAAGGTGAAATACTTAAGAGAGAAAAAAACAAAATTGCCGCGTGTGTTAAATTCTCAGTTGTACTCTGTATTCGTGCTTTAATTTTACTTGTTATTTTCACATCTAGCGGTTAATTTATTTACCAGTTCAGAGTGTGATATGTGTGTTTCTGTGTGTGTGTGTGTGTTTCTGTGTGTGTGTCTGTGTGTACAATGTGTGTAGGAGCAAATAAGGAACACATAGGAAAATTAAATTCAGTTTATATTCCATCGAGTCGACTTAAATCCTTTATGGTATATCGCATATTTCCTCATATAAGGCGACCTTTAGATAAGACGAGGTAAAAAAAAAATAGCAAATCTTAATGAATTTATCCTATGCCTGTCGTATAAGACAACTGCTTATTGACTGTATAAAGATGATGTTGTTGGAAATGTTGTTAGTTTCTGTATCCTTAGAAATTCAAAATAAATGAAAAACCGATTCTATATAATGTTTTTCGTACACACGTTCCCTAAAAGGGAAACCATTGCTTTATTACTTTTCATCACGTGATCTTTTGTGAATACTTCCTATTTTTCTTCTTCCTCTTCTTTTCCTATAGTTGAACAGTTAAAAACAGCCTGGTGTACTAATGGCCATTTACTTATACTTCATCAAAAATCACAAAAAAATCCCTAATAACTGTACGATAATGAACGATAATAGTCATTCCGTTGCTGTGAACGCAATCATAATTCGATATTTACATTTACTCAGCTGGGATTGCATGTACACAAGTTGATTTCATTGATATGGAATTATTCTTCAAATAGGCAATTTATTATGAAGGTATGCCAGTAGAAATGGTTTTATTAAATTTATTATCAGTTTATTTGATAAAGTGAGTCTTTTGATGTAGGTTATTGGTTATCGTACCAAGGCCGAGGTTAACCTATCGTTAAACATCGAATAGAATTGTAGTATAAAACGACCCCTCAAATTTTAAGGGTGATTTTGTGGATTTAAAGGTCGTCTTATACGGTAGATATTTTAATAGCATTATGTAATAGAATAACATTTGTGCACCACATACAACTGCCTGACGGATAAATTATTTAATTCGCTTCTCTTCACCAGAACGATGCTTAATTGCTACCGTAGGGTTATTCTTTTTTAATTAATTTTCTCCGCGGAGGAATTAGTTGGTCGTTTATTAAGCGTATATAGAAATTTATTTGAACTCGTATCGTAAATGTAAGTGTGTGAAACCATAGGAGAATAAATTAGTCAGGTTTTTAGGAAAGTATCATACTTCTGGAATTTCATATTTTTTATAGGCTCAGTAGACGGTACCCAAAAAACCTGAAAGAAAAAAGGATGTAGCGGCACTTTTAAATTAGCCCCTGAATTGACGGATCACCACTTTGCGAAAAGATGAGATTACCTGGGTGAAAAAGGCATTTCTTCCACTAGAATTCATCTGTAAAAATGTTCACCTCGAAGCGTATAGATATGCTACTATTGGCAATGGAACGTTTCTTTCAAACTGACTTCTTTCTTCCTCCGTCACTGACAATTAATCGGCGAAATTTCCTTACCGCAGACAATAATAATAGCTAATAATGAATACGTACTATGTGGTATTGACTACTAGAAAAAGTAACCTTTGTTCCTGGTGAAAAGGGAGATAATTTAACTGTCAGTAAGAAACAAAAATACTGTGCGACTTTGGTGTATTCGACCGTAGTGACTGGTCAGGGACAGAACTGATATGACTTAGAACGGAGAAACGATCGTGATCAATACTTCCGTAGAAAGCCAATGCAATAAAATAAGTTTTTTTTCAGCGGCTAGCCCTAACACATCCATCTGGAAAGGCCAAGGTTTGCAAAGAGTGAAATAATGTTATGCTTGCATAAATTGTGAATATTTCAAATATACACAACTGTTTCCTTTCATATTGCAATATTACATCATTTGTATTTGTTATCAATATTTACATGATTTATGTTATATACCGTATATATGAACACCAATGGGTGTGTCCCGATACTCATAAACACGTTGGACACTATTGTAAATGGAGGTAATATGTTAAGTAGTTCACCAATAGCAGTGGTTTACCTGCTTCACGCCGCTGGCGAGTATTGTATTGTATTGATGATATAAAGATTAGCATTTCATTTCCAACTTCCATTTTGGCTATTCCTCATTCAGTAACCTTTTCTAGACTGCAACATCTATCTATCTATCTATCTATCTATCTATCTATCTATCTATCTATCTATCTCACATTTTTATCTATTGTTATATACCGTACCTATGAACACTAATGGATATGTCCCAATCCTTATTAATACGTTGGGCACTATTGTAAGTGGAGGTAATATGCTACCTACATAGTCCACTACTAGCAGTGGTTTACCTACTTCACGCCGCTGGCGAGTATTGTATTATGTTGATGTTATAAAGATTACCATTTCATTTCCGCCCTCTCTTTTGGTTATTCCTAATTCGGTAATCTTTTCTAGGTTACAACAATTTAAATGACGACTATTGTTGCTATCTTTGTTATCGCTATCACAACGTTTCCCTCTGGACTTCATGAAGTCGATTCCGGAATCTATCATATATATCTATAAGTCTACCATTCGTCCATGCTTAGAATATTGCTACCATATATGGTCCGGTTTCACTGCTATTTACCTTGAGTCCCTTGATAAAATCCAAAGAAGAATCAGCAATATTATCGGTCATGATCCGTCAGCTCGTCTTCAGTCACTTTCCCACCGCCGTAAGTTACTCTATCTGTGTCTTTTCTATAAATACTTTCATGGTAATTGTTAGGATGAGCTCTTCGCTATAGTACAATGAATTGTACATACGGAGACTAGTTAGGACTTTCATAGAGACATGAGGTATTACGGTGAATGTAGTAAGAATGATAATTAAGTATGTGTTGTTTTGATGTTAAGGATATTGTGGCATGTTTGGGTCAGTGACTTTGGCTAAGTTTAAATTTAAGACAGAAGAAAACCACCCTTTTCCTATTCCCCATTTTGGCCTTGCGCCATTTTTTTTTATTTTTACAAATAAATATCATTCTTCGCTATGGTACATAGACATAATTTAAGCGAAGTACTCGACTGGTGTCGAGATCCTATTAATTTGCAGTTTAGCTCGCTAGATGTAGACGTAAATTCTATGCTAACAGTTTCTTCTTCTCGCTTCTAGAACTCCAATCCGGCGCTATGCTTCAGACTTAACTTTAATCTGCAAAAAATTAAATGCAATGTCAATCGTTATCTATTGTCCTCCTGATTACACTTTTATTTTCCCGTTCATTAGTAATTGTGTCTTAGTGGCTTTACTACCTTGTTTGAGGTTAAACCGTTTAAAAAAAAAACTACCGGGAATTCAGTGAATAATTTATTTCATGTAAGGACGTAGGCTGTTCTCGTTGTATATTCATGCCCATTGCTATGGATATATTCTTTATTTTAGTACTGATCAGTTATTGCTTGCACTGTTTCCACAGAGACCAAGTACTCAGTTCTCGACCCAGGGACTGAACTCACAATTACTGTTACCAAATAGATTCAAAAGCATACAAATGGTGACTATATCTCTTTGGTTGAGACCAAGTCCCGAGGGTCACGTGATACCGGTGAGTTTTATCAGTTGTTAGAGTCAGAAGATCAATTGCTATTTAGAATGCGTTCGAAGCAACACATGCCTTTCCACGCCAGTTTCTGTGTAGGCTGTTGTCACAACGTTTCTTCCGTCGTGCCCTCTAGACTTCATCAGTTATGTCGATCCAGATAATCTACAGTGTATTCCGAACAACCCTCTATTTAATCTACGGGCGCAGACGGTTCTCGATCCAATTTTCGTGTCTAGGGATATCTCGTCTCATTCTGATGATTTAGTACTGTTCAGTTAATTGCTTGCCCTGTTGCCATAGAGTCCAAGTGCACACTGCTGGGCTTAGTGATTGAACTGACTATTACTGTGTCACCAGATATATTTGTAGATACGCAATGAGCGATTATCTCCCTTTGGCTGAGTGAAATCAGTAGATAGAGTCGAAGGACTGTTGTTATGCATGCAGTGGCGAAGACATAAGTGACAAACCCTCAACGGTAACGTAAATAGAGCAACTTTCACGATCTCCCCATAAGTGATACCACCAACCTGCCATTTTCTCAGGAAATATTACAAGTAAGACCCTCTTTCGTCAAGAAATATTACAAGTAAGACCCTCTTTCGTCAAAAAGTATTACAAGTAAGACCCTCTTTCGCCAGAAAATATTACAAGTAAGACCCTCTCGCCTTTTCGCACCGTTCAGACTGATGTTGTATGCATATGTTATAGTTTCTCTGTGTGCGAAAAAAATAGTGATAATTGTGTATATATTGGAATAAAACATTTCTCTGAGGACCATGCATGTTTTTCATTCCTTTCTTTCTGTTATTTTGTTCCCTCTGTGTATTAAGGTGTTATTAGATCATGGTTGTAACAATGCTTTAATGAGGAAAGGCAAACTGAAAATATTTTTCTTGCATAGCACCCCCATTAGATTAAATAAAGTGTTCAGCTTGGAGTTTCCTATGGGTTACCCGGATCGATGTACAACTGATAAAAGCCGGGTAGGACATCGGCCGAAACCTTGAGATAACAAGGAAGACGATGACAATAGTCCACATGTTAATAGTAGGAATAATATAGCATTAGTTGAATATATTGATTCATTAGCATCTCGTGTGCGTAGAAATCGAGCGCAGTTCTCTAATTTCAAACAATTTCGAGTTAACTGCACTATACCCCGATAAAAATGTTATATCGCAACTAAAATCAAAGCTAGTGTCGCTACTATGATTTATAAAATTAAATATTTGTTTATATTAGCAATTCGTTTTAGTTTTTTTTTCTTTTTTTTTTTTTGTATGACTGGTTGGAACGAAAGGGCGGAGATATTTTGGTCCGGAAAAGACTTATTTTATTTTTAATGAATATGTGGTCGTATAATTTCCCTTTATTTTCATGTGAAATGATAGCGATACGTATTTTATTGACAGCGATACAGATTTTTTTTTTGTTGGATTAGCATTTATTTATTTTTTTTTTATATAATGCTAGTAGGAGATGGTCATGGACTTAGTCGATGAACGATCATTTAGGACAGGTTACACGATATCCCCTAATTATAGCAACTGATCCCGCAGATAAAGATACTTATCTACAATCACGAATGGAATAAAATGGAGGATGTTGAATATGAACGAAATTCAAGTTAAATCAATCTGTTCAGATGAAGGGAAGAGATTAGATTTAAATCATGCCCGAAAGAAAACTAATGTCCTTTGTCCGTGCAACATTGCCACCAATACCTCTTTTGTTATAACAATCATAAACATTTCACACTGGCAGCTAAAAAAGAAGTTCTAAAAAACATGATTTCTTTACATTCATTATAGTAATTGTAATCTAAGACGTTTCCTTATAAGGAAACATTCAGAATTAAATGACCGAACAGCTTATACGGTCGAAATTTACAAAATCTCTAAACTCTTTCTTTTAAAACAATTTTTTAATAAAATAGTTTTCTCAAATTCAGTAGCTGTTTAACTTTTTTTTTTTTTTTTCTAGAAATGGAAGTTTCATTTCTAACCTTAGATATATAGGGGATGTCCATAAAGTTCGTGTGCACTTTAAAAAATTTATAACTTTATTTTTATTTGCGATAAAAATAATTTGGGAAAAGGATTAGAAAGAAGTAAATCTATATTTTTAAAGATTTTATTGAAATTTCATTTAAGTTTCCACATGTCCTCCATCTTTAGCAATACAACGGGTTATACGATTTTGCAGCTCATGGGAAATATTTGCCAACTGATTTACAGTAATGCTTGAAATCACATTGTCTTTTTTAGCTATACTTAAAACTAGGTACATTAAACTTTATAACATTTTTTACATATTATTTCTATCGCAAATACAAATGAAGTTATATTTTTTTCAAATGCACACGAACTTTATGGACATCCTGTATTTTGAGTAGTGTAGAATGCCAACACCTTGATAATTATTTTCTTTTAGAGTTATATGTGATATCAATTTTAGCTGTTGTTGCTGGTGAACATTTTCAAGTGATATGGTTTCTTCTTAGATATATGTGATTATGTAGCGTTAAACCACAAGGTTTAAATAAGTTTGGTCTCCGCTAAACTGACAGACTTGCTCAAAGCTATTTTTATCCATTGAATTTAGAAAGCAGTGGTATACAGCTGACAGGTAAGATAATTTCTTAACGAGTTTGGCGCGATGCTTGACATCCACGTGAATGTCTCGATCTGATGAAGCTGTTTAAGAACATTACTCGAATTTTCGCATAACTGTTTTCGCTTGCTAGTAATTAAATTTGTCCTCTCTGTCTCTTATAAACAGGTTGTCCATAAAGTTCGTGTGCACTATGAAAAATTTATAACTTTATTTGTATTTGCGATAGAAATAATCTGTAAAAAATGTTATTAAGGTTCAGTACTAGTTTGGCAGCAAGGTCTCATCCTTTTATATATAAGATGGATAGATGTAACCATAAGTTTTATGCTTATTATCTCTCTCTTTCTCGCTTGTGTAACTCTCTTCCGTATGTGTGTGTGTGTGTGTGTGTGTTTGTATGAACTTCACCAATCGTGCGCGCACACGCACATACACACACAGAGAGATACGTATATGTAAATTTCTGACCCTGCGACACGGGTTTATCCAACCAAGCTTTGCGAATTAAATTTTGAATAATGCGTTGAGCGTACTGGAGATGTTCAAAATGCTGATCACTCCAGAACATTCACCCCTAATCAGAAACGGAAACTATGCTTCACTCGACATAGTTCGAATATAAACAACAGGTGAACTCTACGGAGGGTGGATATACAGAAATAATTCTGGCCTGGCGTCTGGCTAGCCATTCTAACAGACAGGTGTGCGGGAAATTATAGGCTCATATATATATACATATATATATATATATATATATATATATATATATAATTATTATTTATAAAAAAAATTATAACATAAGTATGTTATAAAATCACTACAAAAATAGCCACTTTGTTTCAACACCCTTGGTGTCTTATCAAGTGATGATGTTGAAGATAAAATAAATAAATAAATAAATAAATGTTTTTTTTTTTTATAAATAATAATTATATCTGCTCTACTTTGTATTGAGCACTCTTTTAAGAATGGTAATTGTTGGTTATCTGAAGAAAGAATCGTTGGAACAACAATAATCAGAACGGCGAAATTGAAGAAAGTCGAACACAGGTGGTAAATAAGTAGCCACGACTAAAATAAATTTATTGCTATACAGGCAGCCAACTGTCTGCATACGAATATGAAATGAATATAGTAAATATACAAAAAATAGAAAGGGTGTAAGACAATAGTGTGTCTTTTTAAGCGGACTTATTGGGCCTATAAAGTGTTGTGATGCTGACAAAATTAGAAGTTTTACAAGAATCAATTGCTGGCGGCTATAATCTTAAAAACACAAGACATATATATGACGATGCTGACAGCAGTAACAGAGAGAAACAGCTAAAGGTAGTAATGGAAAACAAGAAGAATGGACTAATGATGAATTGCAAGAAGACAGAGTGTATGTTTGTCAGAAGAATCAAGAGTCAAACCTGCAAAATACAAAATGAAGATACCAAAGTCAATCATTTACAAATACGTTTCCCATATATGGTCTCGTGTCCTGTTCATCTCGAAGATCTCGACAAATGCCAAAGACGGATGTGCAATGTGATAGGTCCTAACCTGGCATCTCGATTTACATTCACTTTTTCACAGACGTGTTATGTTGAGGGATTAATGGATAGCGTCTCGGATTGAGGAATCGGAGAGCCGAGTTCGAATTCCAGTGGAATCCATTACATTCACTTGCAGGCTAATACCCTTGGTAAAAGGTATGAACCCTCTTCTTCTCCCCCCGCCAGACATGGGTAAATAGCAGGATAGACTGGGTTCTTTAGCCTTGGATGGCAACTGGACTAGGGCAGAAAAAATGACAACCTACTTCAAAAAAATCTGTCAGTCATATATCGAAAGAACCATGATCGCTTAAGCGTGTATCACGTATGACACATAAGTGACTGACTGATATGGATTCCCTCTGTCTTTTCTACAAATATGTTCATGGCATCTGCTCTAACGAGGTATTTTCATGGTGCCTGAACGCAAGCATGCTGTGACAATATTTGGCTTGCTAAAAAAAAAGAAGAAATAAAAGAAAGGCGAGAATTAAATTTAGGTGATAAGAAGCCATCACGAAAAGGAAACTAAGCGGTGTTATTTTTCTGGTAAGATTTTTATTTCCATTGTCGAGAAGGTAAAACACCGAATTAATCTGATTTGTGTTACGGGGGCGGCGGGTAAGATATGTCCAATCTGCCCATGGCGATGGAAAGAGGAATTTTTCAGTTGGACAGGTTAACTCCCGTGGAGTTCCAGAGAGACAAAAATAAAAGTTGATTAAGCACGCACTGTCCGAGAGGAGGCAGGAATGCCCGCTGACCACCATGAAGGAAAGGTTAAGCCTTTGTCTATATATAGAAATCATTGAAGAGGAACATCTGTTTATCGTCAGAGCGGCTATGATGGCGAAACTATTTTATCGGATCAGTAATTGGCACCAAGAATGCAAATACGTCCAAATAGCCACCCACTTGATGCTTGCGAAAAGCTGATTGACGAATTTCAGGTGATTCGCTTAAGATAAAGAGTCTAGGGTGTGGGGTTTCCTCGGAGAGAAGAAAGAAAAGGAAAAGGAAAGGGAAAAGAAAAGGGAAGATATTTTTTTTTCTTTGAACAAGATTTTTCTTTTAAACCGAGGCTTGTCTGGCCATACCCACGCTGCTGAGCGCCCATTGGCTGAATGGTAGCATGAGCGTTAGGCGGGGGTAATTATGTGAAGCAGAAGGGGAGGCCTGTTGCGCCCCTCCTGAAGGGATAGGTGTGAGATGCCACTGTGAGAGAGAGAGGAAACCCGTTGACACCCTCTAAGAGCATGGTGAGGTACCAATATGAGAACAGAAGAAGGGGGAAGACGAAAGACTTCTAAAAATGAAAAACAATAAAATTTTCCTGACCGAAAACAAAGAAGGGGATTGTGGGTTTAGAATTACCAAGGAACCTCAAACCCCGACAAGCCCACACCGGTTTTGGTCTGCGTCCATATAAGCAAAGTCGCAGCGAGCGAAAAGCAGTTGAGATGCAGATCCAGTGCAGTTCAGTTCAGTTCAGTTCCAGTTGGAGTCGGCAATTGGCAGAGACAGTTACAGAGTTAATAGCCTCGCAGGAAGTTGACTGAAAGATATCCACGCAATTGACCTCAACTTCTAGCCAAGAACAATTTATTTTTGAAGAACGACTTAGACTCATACCACCAAAACAAGTTTTACGAATATCGCCTAAAGATACACCAAGAACCAGTTTCATAAAGAACAAACAACTTAAGATGTTAAGACTCGCCTAACAAAAACAAAGTGTCATGAATCCATATAGCGGGTTGGGAAGTAGAGTCAGTCCTGTATTCAGCAACCAGATATAAAATATTGTTATCTTTTTTTTTTAACAGATTTGAACTTTTCGAGTTATTATTTTATTTTATTTTTACATATACTTGTGCGATATCACCTTAATTCAAACTCGACTTGCATTACGGCCCGGCGACTGATTGATTTCGTCTGCCTAAGATCAATTCACAACGTGGGTAGGTTAGACTGGAAATCAAAGCAGTTACTTCGGTAACCAGACGTTGGGGGCGAGCTGGGAACGACAAGGCTGATACCGAATCTAACCAGATTCCCATCCGAATCACCAAAAGGTTAGAACGTCACATTTGGTGCCGCGACCAATACCAAGCCAGTTCGTCGTCCCAGGGCAGGATAGCACGACGGACGCAGCCAGGCAGACGTCCCATTTGGCGCAGCGACACCGGGGGGACGTCACAATGCTACTAGGTTAGCATCTCGGTCCCATTCTTTTACTGTGGAAACAGCGACATGTAACCGACTCTGCTATTTCAGCGGCTTCTTTTCTCGCACTTCTGGACAGTGGAACCCTTTCCCTCTTACTTGTTTCCTTAATTTAACTATAATCTTGAAAAAAAATTTAATGTAATGTCAATAGACATCTTCAAGATGCCTTGATCTTGTTCCCGTCTTTCTCTTTATCCTTTCCTCAAACACACTTCTTTTACTCTTGCTTTCACTCTCTATAATCACTTGCCTGCTAGAGGCACTTCAGCCTTGCTTGGGATGAAATGCTTAAAAAAATGTTTGAATATCGGAGTAGCGTTTTAATAGAGAGTGGAGTGTGCGAGATTGTAATACGAAGACGCATTGGTATAGCAAAAGATGCCTTCCAAAAGCTAAACAAAGTATGATGAAACAAAAACATACGTGAAAAACAAAGAAATGATTACTGTAACGTTATGTAAGATCAGTTTTCCTAAAAATCAGTGGATGCAGTACAATCTACTTACAGATGAAAAGAGACTAAGTAACAGAAATGTGGTTCAACAGAAGGATGCTGAGTATACCGTACACCGAATATAACTAAATTTTAGTGAGAATAGAAACAGAAAAAATATCAGGAAAAGACAGTTGAAACTTTTAAGGCAGATATTGAGGAAAGAAGGCTTGGAAATTTGATACTGACATGACAGATTGAAGACAAGAGGAGCAGAAGAAAAAGTTTATCTAGCGATATTGAGTAAACGGATGCCGGAATAATTTTTAGGGGAGATAACAAAAAGCCACAATCTATTAACAGCTACAAAAGATAGGAATTTGTGGAGAGCTATGTTCATTAATTGGGTTTTGTTTCGAAGAAGTCAGCAAGCCTGGTTTCCAAATCCACTTCGTTCTTTAATCGTATGCCTCGAAGGGTCCTCGGAACTGGTCGGGAAAAAAAGGTAATAATCTGAAGGCGCTAAATCAGGAGAAAATTGTTATTACCTGAGAAAGTCCCAATTATGTTTCGGAACCTTGACTGAGAGCGACGAGATCCAGGTGTTGAAAATGATATTTTCTGTCTAATCTCAAGCCTGTTACGTCTGTAAATTTAAACTAATTTTCAAAACAGACAAACAAAAGTTGTAGAGGAAGAACACAGTTACAAAAAAATAAAAATAACAAAAATCACCCCCCCCGCCCCAAAAAAAACAAAAAAAAACATTACGGTAAAAATATTTGGCGACTCAAATAAAATATCTGACAAACCCAATGTATTCACTTTTAAAACCGCTTTTAATTTTCCTCTGTCCTTTACGAATAGATAAGATTTTATGTGTCTACAACAACGGAAAACATTTTTACAATTTTGAGTTTTTACAGAAATATGTAAACATAACAGGATGTCATCTTTGATGGTTAACATCTCTGTTGTAATGTCCATATAACCGCTCTGATGATGGCTCAGGTGAGCCGAAAAGTTAGATGGAAGAAAAGGCATAATAAAAAATGTTTGACAATTTTTGTCTTTATTTTCTCCCGAAACTAAAGCCAATATACGAACATTTGAACGGCCTATGATCAAACGTGATAGACATTCGTTGAAATGTTACATTTAACAATATATGTTTGAATATTATGTGTGTGTGCGTATTTCTATATACATATGTGCGTATGTGTGTTGTGTATGGGTGTGTAGTTCCCTAAGCCGTTTTCGATGTATATGAATGTAAATGTATTCATGTATTTATGCCGTATTCGTACACGAACGACAAATATCTCTAGAATTTACTTAACTCACACAGACTGACAAACACACAAATAGACACACAAATACATCTGTCTGTCTGTCTGTCTGTCTATCTATCTATCTATCTATCTATCTATCTATCTATCTATCTTTGTGTGGGTGTTTGTGACTATATGCGTATCGACCACCATTAAAGTAGAATCCCGTCAAGTTTTTAACTCTGGGGTAAACAGAATTTTATTAGGAATTCCTAATTATACAAAGAAAGTCTTCCGAGAATTTATTTATGAGTTTACTCATGTATTTGATTTCCTGTTGAACATTTTTCATGAATGTATATATATATATATATATATATATATATATATATATATATATATATAAAGTGAACATAAGTCAACACTTAGAGGCGACAGTTAGTTTCATCCTTGATGCAATCCTCAGGCCACGA